GCTGTAAATAATGAATGCTAGTTTCCATGCTTTAGCATGGGCCACCTGGGTGCCTGTGGTGCCCAAGGCAAGTCATCAATTTCAGCAGAGCACCCTCCCCCACAAATTTGGAATCTCTATCTTTATGTGTTTACCTTCAAAAACCAAATGCAAGTTTACATGCTTCTTTTATTTTCATATTTGATATTTCTTTCTTTCTATTTTTTTTTTTTTTTTTGAGATGGAGTCTTGCCCTGTTGCCAGGCTGGAGTGCAGCGGCATGATCTCGGCTCACCGCAATCTCCACCTCCCAGATTCAAGCGATTCCCCTGCCTCAGCCTCCCAAGTAGCTGGGACTATTGGTGCACACCACCATGCCCGGCTAATTTTTTGTATTTTAGTGGAGATGGTGTTTCACCATGTTGGCCAGAATGGTCTCGATCTCCTGACTTCATGATCCACCCACCTTGGCCTTCCAAAGTGTTGGCATTACAGGCGTGAGCCACTGTGCCCAGCCTCATATGAGATATTTCTGGTGTGATTAAGGGTGAGAGTGTGTGTGTGTGTGTGTGTATGTGTGTGGTTGTGTGGACATGCCTGTGTGTGTGTGTGTGTGTAATGGAAGTGTGTGAGTAGAATATTATTCATTTGGAAACAATATTTTGCTTTATATTCTCTTTATAGATGAAATTTTATTCATGTCCTCATCCTACAAGCTAGTTGGAAAGATAAGGCCTATACACACATCAGTTAGCTGCTTTTTCAAGGTTCTTGAACAACAGATACAAATCAGCACTGTGCTTCAGATTTGGCATCCATATTACAATTCACAAACTGCAGTGAAAACTATGATATTCATTTCAGATAGTTAGCAGGAAGATTCCATCGAAGGGCCAAATGTCAGGCAGTGAATTTCACTGTGCATTGCTCTGATGAAGGATAACTTCTTTAGCAGAAGTATAACCAGACCATGTCTCCAACACATTATTAGAAGTTGAAATTTGGAGACTTCAAAAATACTTCTGCTGTAAACATTAAATTGATAGCTTTTTAAAAATGTACAACCTCAGCATATATTAGCAAGAAGAAGAAAGCCATTCAGCTTCCAAGTTTTCTTAAGAATAGGAGCCCAAATCTCCACAGCCTCTAACAAAAATAACTTTTAAATAAATATTGTGCCTTATGACACAATGATAATTATAAGTGAGAAGTAAAAATATATATATATTAAAATTTTTTAATTAACATATTGTAAGAAAGACACAGGTGACCAATGCTACAAGATGTCCTCCTTAATTAAGTTGGTAAGAGGCACCGCATTCTCCACAGGCTGGATGGCGTCAGTGGATTTTGGCAGATTTCACTGAAGGAAGAAAATGCCAGGTTGACAAACTTTATATTCCTTGTGTGAGACATTGTTTTGTAAAGTCCTCATGAGGGACAATATTCATCCCTGAGATCTTTTTTTTTTTTTTTTTGAGACGGAGTTTCGCTCTTGTTACCCAGGCTGGAGTGCAATGGCGCGATCTCTGCTTACCTCAACCTCCGCCTCCTGGGTTCAGGCAATTCTCCTGCCTCAGCCTCCTGAGTAGCTGGGACTACAGGCACGCGCCACCATGCCCAGCTAATTTTTTGTATTTTTAGTAGAGACGGGGTTTCACCATGTTGACCAGGATGGTCTCCATCTCTTGACCTCGTGATCCATGTGCCTCGGCCTCCCAAAGGGCTGGGATGACAGGCGTGAGCCACCGTGCGCAGCCCCATCCCTAAGATCTTTCAAAGGAAGCTAGCAAAGTATCCCAAAGAATAATGGACATACAGCTAAACATGACACAGAGATACACACATTATCTGTGTTTCCCTAGTAAGCAAGATACCAAAAAAATTAGTGTTTGGGACAAAGATGGAGTTTCTGAATGATTTTGTCAATCAGTACAGTATTAAACCAAATTTAGAAAAGGTAAAAGCTAGGGCCGGTTGTGGTGGTTCAGGCCTGTAATCCCAGAACTTTGGGAGGCTGAGGTGGGTGGATCACCTGACATCAGGAGTTCGAGGCCACGTTGGCCCGTCTCTAGTAAAAATAAAGAAAACTAGCCAGGCATGGTGGCGTCCACCTGTAATCACACCTACTCACGAGGTTGAGGCAGGAGAATTTCTTGAACCAGGGAGTTGGAGGTTACAGTGAGCCAAGTTCCCACCATTGCACTCCAGTCTGGGTGATAAAAGAAAAAACAACAGATAAAAGATAAATAGGTGAGATGAAATGCACACAAGGCACAAAGTGACACATTCTTTATAGAGAAAACCTTGAAAACTTAGGAAAATGTTGACCAGTTCTTAAACATATTGCTGGGAGCATAAACAAATTGCTCTCTGTCTCACAGCAGGTCACTTTGCTTTAGCATAATTGCTTCCTAAATGTAGAATTGGTTCTTGTTTTCCAATAACACAATAATAGGAATAATAGCAGCCAATATTCATTGATTGATTACTATGCACCAGGCATTTCTCTAAGAACTCTATAAATTGTCTCTGTGTAGGCTCCATATTGGGTAGGTTTTACTGCTTTCCTTAACTTTCAGATGAAGAAACTGAGGCAGTAAAAGTCTCAATTGTGATAAAAAGAAGTCTTTGTTTGTCACTGTGGATACAGAGAGGCATAGGGTGTCTGGTGCTTAATTCATTACCAGGGCTAAACTGGTGATTACATACATCAGGCACTCATGAAATAACAAAATAATGTGCCTATGAGTATTTTAAATGTTTGATTTTCTCCCCAAAGCATTTTAAAACTCATATACTCTTTTAGATTTTGGGCAAGATCAGGCTTAGTTTGGAGTAAAGTTTGCCAGGCAAGCAGAGCTCCCAAACACAGTGATCAATACCCTCATGGGCTGGTGAGTCCTTAAAAACTAACCTGTCTAGACACCAGATACTGCTCCTAAGAGAGTAGGGAAAATAGGGTAAAACAGCCCTTGTAAAAACAATGCCACTGCTGTCAATATGTATGCTGAAGTCAAGTCCAGTGTGAAAATACAGCTTCAGGAAAGTGGATGAGGGTTGGAGATGCTGGTTTTGAAAGCCAATGGATTGTTTTCTGAATCTGATATGTGAATGAGGACAGCAATCCTCACACTTGACTGCATATTAAGAATCACCTGAGAGCTTTAAAATAAATACTAGTGTGGGGGCCCCATCACAGACCAATTAAATCAGGATTTCAGGGAGTGTGGAGACGGAGCATTTTTCAAAAGCTCCCCAGATGGCTGCAACATGTAGCCAGGACGGAGAACCCTGTATCAGATGTAGTCTAGACAGCTGAAACGTCCCCTTGAGTACATATGGCAGAAGTCTCAGAACTGGGATGTAGTTGTTAAAATCTCTAAAGCCTGAACAGCCAAGTTGGTACACACTGTGGCAGAGAAAGCCCGAAGTGTATTTGGTAAGACCACCTACATGCTGATATCCTTATGCCTCCCAGCTTACGTTATTTTGAAAGATAATTATTGTGAACAAGTCTAGACAGTTGTTATTACAGGAAGCTTGTTAAGAACACAAGAAAATATTCAGAGAAAACAGAATTCATGTGATGACACAATATCTTAAAATTCAGGAGTCCTTCCTCACCTATTAGCTCCCAAGAATGTGTTGTACACGGGGTGAGGTGGGGGGGCATGGATGTGAAGACAGACTTATGAACATCAAAATTAGTGGTAGATTTATACCAGGCTTCTAAGAACGGGCTACACAAACCATTTCTTGGTAGCACTCAATGACTGGCTGCTAATTTAAGTTCTATCCTCTCCTGCAGGTCTGCTGTTGAGCTCATGACTACACCAGGGCTTAGGTGCTATCTAAGCTTCTTAAGGACGGCAGAGCACATGAGTGGTTTAAGTTTCAGGAAGTCTTCACAATATTCCAATTGTCTTGAGTTTTCATTCAAAAAGCAAAGGTTCATAGTTTCTCTGTAATTCTCAGAGAATTTATGAAGGCACCTGAGCTCAAATCACAAGCTTACCCTATCTGAAAAAAGGGATGTCCACGAAAGTGCTTCAAATAGCTAAAAAGACAGGGGTTTGCATGGTTTTCATCAGCTCACTGCTCCATCCCCTCCAAAGAATGCAACTCAGGAATGCAGGTGTGGAAGGGAAGCCAGGTCCTTCCCAGTGTGTCTTCCTGTTGGAATGCCAGTCCTGAATGGTCATTTCTACAGATGATAACAGCTTCTTCCTCCAAGTCTGGAACGATCCCTTCTGTGCTCTAGGAAGTCTCCTCCTTTCTTGGATAACAGTCAAAGAAAAGACCCAGGCACACTGCAGTCTCCCAGCTAGAGCCAGATTTCCCTAGAACTTGCCTAAAAAACAGGCAAAAAGGCGTTGGGAGAAAGGGAGAATATTCTCAGTGCCAACGCTCTCTTTCCCCAGAGCCACGACAAGCAAGGAGCAAGCCTGAGGTGAAAACAAGAGTTCCCCCAAATGCACAAAGTGGGTGCACATCTGTTGGGAAAGACCCTGGATTTTCCAGAGCCCATTCAGAATGGAGAGTTCCTGCTAAGAGAAACACGGGCAGGGTCAATGATCTGGATGAACTCGGCTCTATTCCTCTTAACGCCAGTGCGAAGCCGTGGACCCAGCACAAGCCGGGGTCGCATAGTGCTGCTCAAGCCTGCGGGCCTGTGCCTTTCTCTCGGACCTTAAGCGGTTCCCTGGGGTTGAGCAAGCTCAGGGCCCAGCCGGGTGGACAGGATGCCCGAGTGCACCACCGGAATGACAGGACCGTGCAGAGCCGCCGGGCCGCGGGAGGCAGCGGGCGTGGGTGCCCGCGGAGGGCTAGCTAAGGCGCGCAGCCCACCTGGCAGGCCAGGCCCGGCCTCTCCCTGGCGCAGGAGCCTCGGGTGGGGGTTCGCCCTCCACGCCAGTGCCAAGGCGCCCGGTTCCCCGCCGCGCAGGGGCGGGCTCCGCGCGCGCAGGCCCGGGAGCCGCAGTCCCATTGGCCGCGGGACACGCCCGTCCCCTAGTGAGGGCTTCGAAAGTTTCATTGAAGGTGGAGAAGCGCGCGCCGCCGGGAAGCCCCGGCTGCGCCGCGAGTAGGAGGCTGCTCGGCGGCGGGCGGGGGTCGCGCTGGGCATCTGGACGGCGCTGGTTTTTCTCCTGAGTTTTACGTTGAGGCGGTGGAGGAGGGAGTGGGAGACCTACCCACCCGATATGCGCTCTCGTCTCCATTTCTGCCTACGCTCGCGCTGTTCCTTCGAGTGAGGGAGGGACTCGGAGCGCCGCCCGCGGACCGGACCCACAAGGCGAGCCGAGTTGTGGCGGGGATGGTTCTGCACGCCTGGCAGCTCCCGCCCGGGTGTCTCCGGCGCGAAGTAGCGGGGCGCAGGGGCTGAACTGTGCAGCGGCTCGGGGATCCGCCGCGGGCCGCCCAGGGGCTGGAGGGTGAGACTCAGAGCCCGCCAGGCAGCTCCGAGAGCGGGGGCTGGAGTCAGAGCGCTGCAGCCTGCGTGGGCAGCGGGACATAGGCTGGACAGCGGAGACGCGGTGGCTTCAGAGGGGCTTCCACGTAGAAAACTCCCCGGCCGCCCCTGAACGACGTCCTGGGAACCAGGCGGGAGCACAGCACGCCCTTCTTGCCCCAGTTCCTCGCCGTGCCGCCTCCCAGGACCCTCCCAAAGCGTCCCTTTCCACAGCCCCCGCACCAGCTACCCTCTGAGGAAGCCGCCGCCGCTGCCGGATCCAGGATCTACACTTCATGGGCCCGCCTCAGGGGGTCGGGCGCCGGGCTAGGTGGCCGCCAAGAGCCTGGTGAGGGGCTACCCAGAGCCCGGCGGGCGAGGGGCGGCCGAGAGCCCAGGGAGCGCGCCCTCGGGGCTGAGAGCGCAGCGGCGGGCGCTGAGGAGATGCTCGGGTGGCTGCGAGCTGCCGGCGGCGCGAGGCCATAGGCGGGCATGGGCCTGGCGTCCCAGCAGCCCTAGGGACCCTCGAGCCTCGCCCCTCTGCTCCGACTCGCCGGACCGACGCTATGGCCTCGGAAGTGGTATGCGGGCTCATCTTCAGGCTGCTGCTGCCCATCTGCCTGGCAGTGGGTGAGTTGGTCCGCTCACCGGGGGCACTTGGGAGGACGCGGGTCGGTGGGGAGGGGGCGTTCGGGTGGGGTCTTCCTAACCAAGTTAAGGGGTCTGGTGCTCTGGGGTTTGGTTCTGGAGGCCGGCGGCGTCAGACGCGCAGTCCCTGGTGCACAGCCGGGCTGTCTCACTTCCCACTCAGGGGCGCGCTATCAGGGTCTCTTTTAGCCGGATGCTCCGGATGGGCATGTGCTTGAGACGATTTTTGTTGAATTTAGTTACACATGGATTTTCTTTCGTGGAGTACTGACTTGTGCACGAAGGATGGCCATTGCTGTGGCTGGAAGGCGGATGCATCCCCATCGTAGGTACAATCAGGCTCCTACCTGAGTCCCTCGCCCCAGTGACCCCAGGAGCAGAGCATGCTGTGCATCCAGGCGGCGCAGAGGCCATCTCTCCCAAACCCCAAATCCCAGCAACCGTGAAGGAAGAAGTAAAAGATTCCGGTCATTCAGAAAAGAAAAATAGGGACGAGGTACAGGGAGACAGTGCCTTGAAGTTTGTGACTTATTTTTTAAACCTCCACAAAAGCCCCTACTACAAAAGTTATGGATGCTAAGGCCCCCAACACCTAGTCCCTCCTCCCAGTGGCCGCCCTCTCCAGATTTTAAAGGGTTAGAAAGCAGGGTTGGAACTCCTTGGAACTGGTCAGGGCTCAAGGAGGACCGCACGGGAGCCTCCTCGACGCTCAGACAAGCACTGCACCGTTTCCACAGGACTGGCCTGGCGTGCAAAGCAACTGGGTGCTGCGTTCTGGGAGTGGGACCGTTTCTGAGTTTCTCCTGAAACAGGCAGTGCCTGTGACATTGAATCCTCTCCAACGAGCGCCGGACCCTGGCGCCTTGCTCTCCCTCTCACCAGCAAGAGCTAGGAAGCAGAGCCCTGATCACCGAGTAGTAACCGTATTTGCAGAGGGCGTGGCCTTCGCAGAAAAGGCCACCTTTTTGCCTCTTGCCAGAGGTTGATGACTCTGCATCTTGCCAGAGGTTGATCACACCTGTGTTAAATGTTGTCTTTGTGCGAGCAGTCGAATGGGGGCTCTAGCGTGATTGGTGAGTGTCAGGACAGTTACCCGGAGAGTTTTGTAACACACTTCGTGACTGAAGTGTTTGGGAGGCGTCTTTTCAACAAATCTCAGCGGAAACCCCAGGAAGGAGCTCCGAGTGGAGGGAAGACGTGGTCAAGCGGGGTCCCCAGGCAGCAGGAGGGACCCGCGGGTCGATGCTGGCATCGTTCTCTACTTTGCAGTTTGAGTTCCATTTTGCAGGGGTCTAATCTCACTCGCGTAGATGATGAAGAGCTAAGCTTCCATAAAGCACCTCTCTCCCTGCCAGCTTGAAAAGCGATTTGGGAAAGGGATTCTTCAGGTGCCTTACACACGGAGAGTGTCGCTGTTCAGTGATCATCTCTGTATCCTAAGCGCTTGGCACTGTGCCTAGCACAGTTACTATTGTGAATTGAAAGCTGGTGGCCGAGTTAACAAGGGGCTTTTATAGTGAAGCGTGATTTGTGGTCCTCAGTGCAGACCGGGAAGGGGTGCTGGGGAGTGGCACTAAGGTTAAAGGCCGCTCTCTTCCCTCTCAGTCCCTCCATCTCCCCTCCTCCTCCCCACTGTTCCTAGAGGAGGGACATCCTCTTCCCCATCCCTGTCCCTCTCTTCACAGGGCAGCAGCTCACTGTGACTGTTGGAAGAGTTAGGCAGGTGGTTCCCTGAAGCCAGCTCGGTCCACTCTGTGACTTGCACCAGTGGCTGAATAAAATGCCAGCAGCGATTGCCTGCGACCTCGCCCTTAGGGTAGGCTCTTGCAGGTTGGGCTCAGCTGCGCTGGGGTTGGGCCCCTGTCAGTCCTCTGAAAGGTTGGTGGCCTGTGCTAAAAACTCCGTCAGAAGGGCTGTAGTACTCTGCCCTCCCAAGGGGAGCTGGCCTGGCTTGGGTTGCTGGCAGGGGCGTGGGGTGGTAACTCTGCAGCCAGGGTGGAGGTGGGGCCTGGGGTCTGGACTCAGGTCTGGACTGGGGTCTGCCCTGCCTCTCCCCACCGGGACCCCCACCCAGCTTCTTCTGTGGTGCCAGCACACTGTTCACCTTCTGCTGACTGGCTTGTGCCCCAGGGCAGGCTGGGGGCTTTGGATACCTGAGTCCACTTTTACCCTGGACTTTCTTGGGAGGAGCTGGGCTTCTAGTGGTGCCAAGATCGTAACCTTGGCCTGCCCGCACCCTGCTTCCTCCCCAGGGGACAGCTGAGTCTGCCCAGGAGATTCGGGGGCTGCCTTCCTTGTCCAAATCATTCTTATGGACTCCCACACCTCTCTGGGTTCAGGGAGACTAACTTGGGTGTGTGTGTGTGTATGACTGTGTAAGAGTTTGTGTGAATGTGAATTTGAGTGCATGAGTGTGAGTGTGCACATGTGTTATGAGTATGTGTGAGTGTGAGTATGAGTGTGTAGGGGGTTAGAGGGTAGTGATTCCCCTTGCTTAGCCTGGAACCTGTTGCTTCCCCTGCCCTAAGAAAAGCCTAATTCAGGAGAAAGCAGAGGAGGTGGACTGGCCCCTGGCCAGAAGAGAGCCTGAGCTCCCTGGGAGACCTGACCCTAGCGACCCCCTTACATATTGGCTGCTTAGGAAAGATAACCTGCATTGTGGAAAACTACTAACACCTTCTAATCATAATACTTACTTACAGGGACAAAAGAGGGCTGAGCAGATGCCACTTTATTTGAGCATTTGATTCTCTTCTGCAAGAAGTAGAGATTTTTTCCAAGGTTATTGGAGAGTTTTCAGGTCTGCCTACTCCCAAGGTGCCGCTAAGTCAAATATTCAGGTTTCCCTTCTGGGCTTGGTGAGTGCAAAGGTCTGCTTGTCATTAGAATCGATTTTACATTTTAGCCATCTATTTTTGTATCTGCAAAAGGCAGCCTTCAAAGCTGAGCCTTTGCAGAAGCTCACAGAAATTTTTCTGCACAGAGATTCCTAGTCTTTTTGGTTAATGATAGATGTTAAAAATTAACTATTGTGTTTAATCTGACGCTTACAGATTTTTTTCTTTTTTCTTTTTTTTCTATGAGAGAGATCTTAAGTGATAAGAGAAATCAGGCTTCTTCAATGCAGGTGTTATGTGATTCTTGAGTGTTAAAAGCAAAACAAAACCATAATAGAATATGTTATTTACCGTCCAAAATGAACATCCAGTGATGGGTATGCATATAGTTATGGCCACCAAAAATTTTAAATGTCTCCCAAATTATCTATGACTAGTTGCTAGCCATGTGATTTTTTTTCTTACACATAATACACAAAAAGGTAAAGACTTTCTGTTATGCAGTCTTTAAAAATTATAATGATATGTGATAATTGTTGAACATTTTACAAGTATTTTACATTTATCTTCTTTTAACATGATTCTACTGTACCACCCATCTTTAGGTATATGATTTGAGTTGTCTCCAGAGTCAAGAATGTATTGGTGTATTTGTTTTTAATTCATGATCTTGACCATTCGTTCCATCTTGCCCAGTGTTGCCTGGAGTTCCCTAATCTCATGCCTAAAAGAAATGACTTACACATTTTCAGGGGTAGGAAAGGGGAGGTCTCGCTTGGGAGAACAGGGGATTAGAGACCATGTTTTTTGTGTCCCCTGAAACAGGCAACAAGAGCTTAGGAAAGAGCAGAGCCGAAAAGGGGACTGTGTCCCACAAAGAAGAATCAGCTAATCAACTAGTGCTCTGGAAAACAATACTCAAATCCAGGAGGAATCTCTAGAACTTCCTTTAAGAATAGTTGGATTGACGTGTGAGTAAAAATATGGGCTCACTTTTGAAATATATATAGATATGGCTAATAACAATTTGATCTTTATAGCATGATATATTTTCCCTGTGTAATAGATATCATTTTGAAATCACAATTCCACACAGTCCAAGAATTACAAATGAAGCTAATGTTTATGTGATCAGCATTGGCCTCCCCTATCGCAGTGGCTGTAGCTCTCTCAGTGGTAGGTGGTTGCAGCTGCCAAAGGATTCATGGAAAGCATTTAATAAAGCAACTTGCTTTTCCACCACACTTTCTCAGCCTTATATAAGTAGATACTGTTTATCAAGTTCAAAAATGAAAAAAGGAATAGTGGAAAGGATTGGAAATTTAGTTTATTTCTAAAATAAAATATTTCATCCACACAGAACGGCACGAGCATGTAGTCTCCTGAGCCATGGGGGCTGGAGCTATGTGTCCATCCTGTTGCTTTGTAAGTGTGTGTGTTTCTCTACAGGTGATGTGTGTTTGTTCATAGTCAGAGATAAGCAGATGGCTTTGGACTTCACCTTTGAGGGAGGATGGTGTTGTCATTGGGTTGTTTAAGAGACTCTCATTGACATCACAGTTCTGCCCTTCACTGTGTGATTGTAGAGTTCCTTTTGTTTGTTTCTCTTTTCTGTCTGTAGAATGGAGATATTCATGTCTCCCTCCTTGGGTGGTTGTGAGATTGTGTGCACAACACACCTTGTATAAAACCTAACACATGGCAGGTGCTGCATTACCTTTATGAAGATGAGTCGAGAGCAGGGATGCTCAGGCAATGTCTCGATGTGTCAGTCAAAATTAACAGACTAGGAGGTAAGAGCATGGGCCAGGAGAAGGCCGAGCTGAGGATGTGGGGTTCATGGGAATGCAACTTAATGCCTTCCTAGAGGCAAATTATGTGAAAGTGTGTGTGTGTGTGTGTGTGTGTGTGTGTGTAGGATTTTTAATTATCAGGATTTTTCTCACCAGTTTTACTCAATATTCCAAATCTCTGCTGTTGCATTCTTCTGATTAATAGAATTTTAAAACAATATTGAGAACAATTAAATATTGCTCTAACTAATAATACTGATAATGTTTACTTTTATCTTTTAGGACCATTTTTGTAGTCTTTATTTAATGTGATTTTATTTCTAGCCTGTCATTTTTTGGGGGTCCCTGTGCT